CCACCATGCCCAGCTAATTTTTTTTTTTTTTTTTTGAGATGGGGTCTCATTATGTTTCCACAGGCTAGTCTCGAACGCCTGGCCTCAAGCAATCCTCCCGCCTCAGACTCCCGAGGTGCTAGGATTATATGCATAATAAGCCATCACACTCATAGGTGAATTGAATAATGACTTTTGGTCACTGCTTTTAAATTATTCACGAACAGGGCTTTCTAAGCTTATCCGAAAACAATCAACAGGTTTCTTCAAAACTACGTAATCCAAACAGTTCATTCACAGGCATCAGGAAACAAATGAGATTTTAGAAGACCAATCATTCTTTCATAGCACACTGCCATTCCCAGTCAGAGCCCAGCAAAACCACCACCTGTTTGTTCCCTCTGTTGAAGCATTTCCTTCCTTCTTATTCTGGCTTACCTCTACCGCGGACTCGCTTGCCACGGTCTGAAGGTTTGTCCCCTTGATGGCTATCAATTCCATTTTCTTCACCTCTAACTAAGAGGAAAAAAAAGAGCAGAAAAATCTACTTTTCATTTCTAAATCTCCTGGACACCTTACCAGACATCTATTAAAAGTAAGGAATAAGTGACAAAAAACCCCCCTAAAAACTGGCTAAAATTTCAACACTGGGTTCAGAAGTAGCAAGAACAAAAGTGGCTAAAAACTGAATGATAGCACATCATGCTTAATTCAGAGGTGAAAATTCTGAAAAGAGATTAAAATAATGTATCGATTTTTTCTCTTATATAGATTTGCTTTCCTAACCTTAAGTTGTTCTCAAAAAAGCACCTTCACTGTGCAACTATGTAATATATCACAGGATCTGCTCATAAGTTAGGTTAAAAGCCTGGAAAGGCACAAAACAGCAAACTAGTAATGCCAAAGAAACACTGAATCGTTAGAAAAATTAAAATGTTAGAGAAGAGTTTTCCTAGGATACTGTCCAGAAAATGCCAGCACGATCTTTTCTTTTCCTCATCCCTATATAGGCATTAAATTAAGGACTCAATATAATACAGAAATTTTATGAGAGATATTGGCATGTTTTGCCCCCTCCTCTGTTTAAGGGCTTAATTCACACGAGCTCTCAGTGAGCCTTTCCTTGGAAATCCACTTAAATTTGTCAAACACGGGCCCATAAATTCTCATCTCACCTTCTGCCTTTGTCCCCATACCACGGTTTCTAAATAACATCATTAAAATATTAGATTAATATAAAATATTTTACTTCTCTTTTATAATGTTACATCCCACTCTACCTTCATTAAAAAGTATTTTAGGAGGGCAAAGATTTTTCTCTGCTTTACTCATTGCCGTATGCCTAAAGTTCCCACTACATGGCAAGTACTCAAAATGAGCTAGCAAAAGTCTCTAAGGTGGTATGTCAAATATTTATTTTATTCACTCATAACTTAGCTACTTCGATGTTATCTCCACAGCAGGCAGGGTTGTCTTTTGGTAAATGGTGCCAAAGCCTGGGTCTAATAGAAAGTATTAAGAAAATCTTGCTTATGCAACAACTTTCGTCTTATGTCTCACCCTTGCCTATATACCGTAAGTATCCATAAATGGGGAAAACAAAACAGGTACATCTTTGAATGACCCCACGACAAGCGCACACACACCCTTTAGAGAATGCACTTGATCCGTAAGAGAAAGCAATCTTAAGACACACTAAACGACTACCTACCTACAGCCCAGGTCAGTGCTGACGTGAAACCACATCAGAGGTTCTAATGAACTACTCAGTTGCAGATCATTTCTAGTGCTAGATGTAGATCAAATTTTGCATTGAGGAAGTTGATTTATGGGCATTCTTTGGATTAGTCTTCAACTTTTCAAAATGCATAAAAACTCATAAGAAAACGTTGAGGAGAAAACTCTGCACTTACACTCTCTGCCTCGATTGCCACCTCTTCCTTTCCGGTTGTTGTTTCCACGTGCATGACTTGCTTCTCTCTCACTTCTCTTCTCTCTATTCTCTTTGTTTTCCGAACTTTCCTTTCCAAAATTTCTCCTCTTTCCTCCTACAGTTTCCCATGAAGTCTATCAAAGAGAATAGTTGTTACTCAGATTGTCATTCAAAGCATGTACAATCACCAAGAGCACATGCATGTATCTTTCAAACCTAACTACCCACAGTTTGTAGCTCACTTGCCGATCATTTTAATTCTTTTCCATGTAGTTCTACTTGCTTGATGATAAAGCTGACAAACCTCTTCCTAAGCTCCTGTTGCTAAATAATTAGACCTCTCAGCTGCCCTGACAATGTACTGTGTGTTTTCCTGCCACAGCCCTTTTCCACGCAGATTTAGAAATAATGTAAATGTTATTTCTCCAAACTCCTATTCCAAACCACCCCTCCTATCCGTGCAGTAGGCCTTAAACCCACTAATATATAGAGTAATTCAAAGCTACAAAGATACTTAGAATGATGCCCCAAAAGCTCCAGGAATAAAACCTCGCATATTCAATTATCCAAAGTGATAATTTTAAAAAAATTAATGACAGAAAAGTAAAATTTAAGGATGGTTTTTTTTTTTTATAAAGCAAATACCCAAAATTTCAATCTCAGAGAATTGTTCTAATGAGAAACCAAATAATTTATATAACCTCCATTCTCTACCCCAACCTATAAAGGTGATACCAAATCTAATCATATCATAAAAATATAAGTTATTTCCATCTTAGTTGATAAAGGGGGGGAAAAGAAAGAAAAAATATATAAATTGCTGAAAAAAAGAATGAGATACCACATTCTTAAATATAAGTGAATATAAGAATATCAAGCAGGGTATATTACACGCAAATCTCAACATTGGCCCAATAGTATCTATTTGCTTTTCCACAATCTACTTTATTTCACAAGGGATTTGAAGTTATTCAATCCCAAAATTAGAGTTGTAATTATTTTAAGATGTAAAAAATCTGAAGAAAAAAAGAAAATAACATTGTATATCCAAAATAAACATAATAGAAATCCATAAATTAAAACTCAAGTGATATAGCTGAAATTGTTTCTAAAACAATGGAAGCCAGCTTCAAAACACTTTTTCTAACGGAATTTCTAGACTTCTCCAAATCTTTGATGAACTTACCTATATACTCAGATATAAAATAGATGTTAAAAAAAAAATAACATATTAAGCTGGGCGTGGTAGCTCACGCCTATAATCCTAGCACTCTGAAAGGCTGAGGCAGAAGGATTGCTTGAGGTCAGGAGTTTGAGACCAGCATGAGCAAGAGCGAGACCCCCATCTCTACTAAAAATAGAAAAAAATTAGCTGGGCATGGTGGTGCACGCCTGTAGTCCCAGCTACTCGGGAGGCAGAGGCAGGAGGATTGCTTGAGCCCAGGAGTTTTAAGGTTGCTGTGAGCTAAGCTGACGCCATGGTACTGTAGCCCAGGCAACAGAGGGAAACTGTGTCTTAATTAAAAAAAAAAAAAAAAAAAAATACATATTAAAACAAGTTATTTTCTACCCCTAAGATTTGATAAAGATTAAATATATTGACACCTGACAGTTAAGGTGGAACAATCAGGTATTTTCATACAGTTCTGGTGAGCATGTACCTGTTGTAACCTTTCTAGAAGACCAGCTGAAAATAGTACCCAAATTTTCATTAGCATACATTCTGACCCAGGAATGATATTTCTAGGCTCATATTCAATGAAAATAATCTAATAATTATAAAAATAGTGAAGTACAAACACAATGTTCAACAGAATAAGGGAGATGGGAGAATTCCTAAAATATCTAACTTAGGAAGGAGACTGTCTACTCAAGTACATCCATAAATGGAACAGTATGTAGCCATTTAACCAGTTATACAGGTACACATAGAAAGAGGTCCTTGATATAACTAAAGCAAGTTATCAACTAGTAGCATATGTAATAGGATTACATGTTTCAGTTCAAATAAGAACCTATGTATACACTGAAGAAAATGGTAAGAGTCATCATCTAAGTGAGGCTGTTTCACTGATTTAACCATTTTATCTTTCTGAATTGCCTTTTTTTGAGACAGAGTCTCACTCTGTTGCCCAGGCTAGAGTGCTGTGGCGTCAGCCTAGCTCACAGCAACCTCAGACTCCTGGGCTCAAGCGATTCTCTTGCCTCAGCCTCCCGAGTAGCCAGGACTACAGGCATGCATCACCATGCCTGGCTAATTTTTTTTTCTCTATATATTTTTAGTTGTCTAGCTAATTTCTTTCTATTTTAGTAGAGACAGGGTCTCGCTCTTGCTCAGGCTGGTCTCGAACTCCTAAGCTCAAACAATCCACCCACCTCGGCTTCCCAGAGTGCTAGGATTACAGGTGTGAGCCACCACGCCCGGCCTGAATTGCTTTTTTCATTAAAGAAAATAAAGCTTATTTATTCCAGAGGAAAAAAAGTCCTGTAGTATACAATCTCAATTTATTAATTTGCTAATATGAATAAACTAGAAAATTGTGTAAAATAGAATCCAGTCCTCTTACTTTAGCAGACAAAAAGTAAATCCCAGAAGTCCTAGAAAAATTATACTCACTAGGGTTAGTACAAGGTGTGTGCAGGTTGAGTGTACACACAGTGTATATTTTTTTTAAGACACAGAGTCTTGCTCTTTTACACTGGCTAAAGTGCAGTGGCACAATCACAGCTCTCTGCATCCTCAAATTCCTGGGCTCAAGTGATCTTCCTGCCTCATCCTCCCAAGTAGCTGGGACTATAGGCACGCACCACCACATCTGGCTAATTTTTCTTATTTTTTTGTAGAGACAGGCTCTCACTATGTTGCCCAGGCTGGTCTCAAACCCCTGGCCTCAAGAGATCCTCCTACCTTGGCCTCCCAAAGTGCTGGGATTACATGCGTGAGCGACTGCACCTGGACTGTTTTCTGATCTTTGAAGAAACCAAAGAGTCAGATCTCGCTCCCACTATGAAATTGTTCAAGAAGTAACTAATGTTCTTTATGAAAATTTCATCTTTACTTTCTAATACATAGCCCAGAACCACCTCCTTTGGGTTCAGCCAAAGTAATCTCAATAAAACAAACAGGGAATACAGGACACTTAAGACTTAAAACTGGATTCTTGTGTAGTTCATAAGCATGATGATTGGGTTTTCATACCCAAGCATGAGATGTGCCTCCCTCAAACCTTGTTTTGATGTTGGCACATCACCTGTCTGACATGAAAAAGACTTAAAATTTCATTCAACTATCACAGAATAGGAATGGAATCAGCTAAAGGTAACAGAAAATATCTAGACTTCTCTGTATCATAAAAAGAGAAGAACCCCTTCAGTTTACATTTGCAAATATTTTGTTCACTCACAGCGATTTCTTTTATAAAAAAGGCAGTAAAGCTTTTCAGTTCACTTTGAAAATAACGGAGAGCCATTCCGTACTACATCCATCCATCAGCAATGAGGTAAACAGATTCCCCATATTTTATAAAACCCAGGAAACTTATCCCTACATGTCAGCAAACAAAACTATTTGAAATTTTAATTTACCATTTAATATATGCTTTCCCAAAAAATTCACATATTCAGTGGTTTATCATGTGGATCAGTGTTCTCCTGCATGGAATTTTACCCACAGATACTTCGACACTCAAATTATCAACACTCAACATTCAATTCCTTGTTCCTTCAAGGAACACTCCTTGTTCCTTCATTAATACTGGCAATGTCAAACTATAAATAAGTTGTTCTCTAAGTTGACCAAGTATCAGATTATGAATAAGCAGCACATACACATGTACACACACACATATATACCAACATTTTCAGAGTACCCAGAATCAGGTATCTGACTATTCAAACTTAGTTCAATGTCCAAGGATTCCCACACTCTGAACTACTCAATACTCAATACCCACACTCTCAACACTCAATACTTCAACACTCAATTATCTCACTCAGCGAGATAATTTCAGAATTAGCTACCAAATTAGCTAATTTTTATTACTAAGAAAATTAATTCTGCTTGTTGCACACCAACTAAAAAAGATACTCATTTTAGTTTTCAGTTTCTCACAGCAATTCACTTCTATGCTACCTGTCCCCACTATAGCCTATCCCTAAAAATGAAAACATGATTAAACCTGAACACTGACAAGGAATGCACTCATTGATGTGTTCATCTTTGTACCCTCTCTTAGGTGAACTTTTATTTGTTATAATCTAATCTGAAAGAAGTGGTTTCCTCAATATTTTTTTTTTTTTTTTTTTGAGGCAAGGTCTCACTCACTGGGGCTAGAGTGCAGTGGCATGAACATAGCTCACTGGAACCTCCTACATCACTACCTCAGCCTCCCGAAGAGCTGGGACTACAGGCATGTCCCATCACACCCAGCTAATTTTTCTAGTTTTCTGTAGAGACTAGGTGTCGCTCTTGCTCAGGCTGGTCTTGAACTCCTGGGTTCAAGCGATCCTTCCATCTCAGTTTCCCAAAGTGCTGGGATTGCAGCCGTGAGCCACCATGCCCAGCCCAGTTTCTTCAATTAAAAAATACAAATGAAATACTGTGCAATCTCCACACAGAAATCAAAAGTTTAGAGCCGACAACTGCGCCCTCGTGTGGTTTAGTTCCATCCTTTCTGAAATCAAAAGGATGAGCTCTAATGCACCTGTACATTCATCAAATTTTAACTAAGGTTAAAAAAAAAAAAAAAAAAAAA